CCACAATAGCCACATTGAAGACATTTCTGGAGGCCCATACCTAATAGACATACATAAGAATTGTACTCACAAGTACAGTTCACACATTACATAGAGATTTACCAATTAAAAGAAGACAGAAACTTTGTTGCAATGCCACAATAGCCACATTGAAGACATTTCTGGAGGACCATATTTTATAGACATACAAAAGAATTGTACTCACAAGTACATCTCACATATTACAAAGAGATTCACCAATTAAGAGAAGACAGAAAGTTTGTTGAAATGCCACAATAGCCACATTGAAGACATTTCTGGAGGCCCATACCTTATAGACATACAAAAGAATTGTACTCACAAGTACAACTCTTATATTACGAAGATATTTATCAATTTGAAGATGAGAGAAATTCTGATGAAATAAAACAATAGACTCTTTTAAGCCATTCCTGGTAGCCAAACCCTTAAAGAAATACAAAAAAATTATACTTACAAGTAGAGCTCACATATTACGAATAGATTTCTCAGATTAAAGAAGACATAAATTCTGTGGAAATGCCACAATAGCCACATTGAAGACATTTCTGGAGGCCCATACCTTATAGACATACATAAGAATTGTACTCACAAGTACAGCTCACACATTACAAAGAGATTTATCAATTAAAAGAAAACAGAAAGTTTGTTGCAATGCCACAATAGCCACATTGAAGACAATTCTGGAGGCCCATACCTTATAGACATACATAAGAATTGTACTCACAAGTACAGCTCACACATTACAAAGAGATTTATCAATTAAAAGAAGACAGAAAGTTTGTTGCAATGCCACAATAGCCACATTGAAGACATTTCTGGAGGCCCATACCTTATAGACATACATAAGAATTGTACTCACAAGTACAGCTCAAACATTACAAAGAGATTCATCAATTAAAAGAAGACAGAAAGTTTGTTGCAATGCCACAATAGCCACATTGAAGACATTTCTGGAGGCCCATACCTTATAGACATACAAAAGAATTGTACTCACAAGTACAGCTCACACATTACAAAGAGATTTATCAATTAAAAGAAGACAGAAAGTTTGTTGCAATGCCACAATAGCCACATTGAAGACATTTCTGGAGGCCCATACCTTATAGACATACATAAGAATTGTACTCACAAGTACAGCTCACACATTACAAAGAGATTTAACAATTAAAAGAAGACAGAAATTCTGTGGAAATGCCACAATAGCCACAATGAAGACATTTCTGGAAGTCCATAGCTCATAAACTTACATAAGAATTGTACTCACAAGTACAGCTCACATATTACAAAGAGATTCACCAATTAAGAGAAGACAGAAAGTTTGTTGAAATGCCACAATAGCCACATTGAAAACATTTCTGGAGGCCCATACCTTATAGACATACATGAGAATTGTACTCACAAGTACAGCTCACATATTACAAAGAGATTTATCAATTAAAAGAAGACAGAAAGTTTGTTGCAATGCCACAATAGCCACATTGAAGACATTTCTGGAGGCCCATACCTTATAGACATACATAAGAATTGTACTCACAAGTACAGCTCACACATTACAAACAGATTTATCAATTAAAAGAAGACAGAAATTCTGTGGACATGCCACAATAGCCACATTGAAGACAATTCTGGAGGCCCATACCTTATAGACATACATAAGAATTGTACTCACAAGTAGAGCTCACACATTACATAGAGATTTACCAATTAAAAGAAAACAGAAAGTTTGTTGCAATGCCACAATAGCCACATTGAAGACATTTCTGGAGGCCCATACCTTATAGACATACATAAGAATTGTACTCACAAGTACAGTTCACACATTACATAGAGATTTACCAATTAAAAGAAGACAGAAACTTTGTTGCAATGCCACAATAGCCACATTGAAGACATTTCTGGAGGCCCATACCTTATAGACATATATAAGAATTGTACTCACAAGTACAGCTCACACATTACAAAGAGATTTACCAATTAAAAGAAAACAGAAAGTTTGTTGCAATGCCACAATAGCCACATTGAAGACATTTCTCGAGGCCCATACCTTATAGACATACATAAGAATTGTACTCACAAGTACAGTTCACACATTACATAGAGATTTACCAATTAAAAGAAGACAGAAACTTTGTTGCAATGCCACAATAGCCACATTGAAGACATTTCTGGAGGCCCATACCTTATAGACATACAAAAGAATTGTACTCACAAGTACAGCTCACACATTACAAAGAGATTTATCAATTAAAAGAAGACAGAAAGTTTGTTGCAATGCCACAATAGCCACATTGAAGACATTTCTGGAGGCCCATACCTTATAGACATACAAAAGAATTGTACTCACAAGTACAGCTCACACATTACAAAGAGATTTATCAATTAAAAGAAGACAGAAAGTTTGTTGAAATGCCACAATAGCCACATTGAAGACATTTCTGGAGGCCCATACCTTATAGACATGCATAAGTATTGTACTCACAAGTACAGCTCACACATTACAAAGAGATTTATTAATTAAAAAAAGACAGATATTCTGATGAAATGTCACAATAACCACATTGAAGACTTTTTTTGGAAGCCCATACGTGATATAATTACAAAAGTATTCTACTCACAAGTACAGCTCACACATTACAAAGTGATTTACCAATCGAAAGACGACAGATATTCCGATGTAATGCCACAGAAACCACATTGAAGACAGTCTTGGAAGCATATACCTTCTAGAAATACAAAAGAATTGTACTCCCATGTACAGCTCACACATTACAAAGAGGTTTATCCATTTAAAGAAGACAGATATTTTGAAGATTTATTGGAAGCCCATGCCGTATAGAAATATATAAGAATTTTACTCACAAGTACGGCTCACACTTTACAAAAAGATTTGTCAATTAAGGACGAATGAAATTCTGATTAAATGCCACAATAAATACATTGAAGACTTTCCTGGAAGCCCATACCTTATAGATATGCAAAAGAATTGTCCTCAGAAGTTCATTTCAAACATTACAAAGTGATTTATCGATGTAAGGAAGACAAAAAATTTTGATGAAATGCCACAATATTCACATTGAAGAGTTTCTTGGAATCCCATACCTTATAAAAATACAAAAGTATGGTACTCACAAGTGCAACTCACACATTACAAAGAGATTTATCAATTTAAGGAAGACAGAAATCCTGATGAAATGCCACAATTGCCACATTTAATATTTACTTGTAAGCCCATACATTATAGAAATACAAAAGATTTGTACTCACTAGTACAGTTCAAACATTACAAATAGATTTATCAGTTTAAGGAAGACAAAAATTCTGTTGAAAATCCACAATAGCCTCATTGAAGATTTACTTGGAAGCCCATACCTTATAGAAAGCCCATACGTGATATAATTACAAAAGTATTGTACTAACAAATACAGCTCACACATTACAAAGAGATTAATCAATTTAAGGAAGACAGAAATCCTGATGAAATGCCACAATTGCCACATTTAATATTTACTTGTAAGCCCATACATTATAGAAATACAAAAGATTTGTACTCACTAGTACAGTTCAAACATTACAAATAGATTTATCAGTTTAAGGAAGACAAAAATTCTGTTGAAAATCCACAATAGCCTCATTGAAGATTTACTTGGAAGCCCATACCTTATAGAAAGCCCATACGTGATATAATTACAAAAGTATTGTACTAACAAATACAGCTCACACATTACAAAGAGATTAATCAATTTAAAGAAGACAGATATTCTTATGAAATGCCACAATAACCACATTGAAGATTTCCTTGGAAGTCCATATCTTATAGAAATACAAGAGAATTGTACTTATAAATAAATTTATCCATTACGAAGAGATTTTTCAATGTAAAGAAGACAGAAATTCTGTTGAAATGCCACAACAACCACATTGAAGACATTTTTGGAAGACCATACCTTATAGAAATACAAAAGAATTGTATTCACAAGTACTGCTCCCACAATACAAAAGATCTATGAATGTAAAGATAACAGAATGTCTGATGTTATGACATAATATCCACATTGTACACTTTCTTGGAAGCCAATACCTTATAGAAATTCAAAAGAATTTTACTCTCAAGTACAGCTCACACATTACAAAGATATTTATCAATTTAAAGAAAACAGAAATTCTGATGAAATGCCACAATAACCAAATTGAAGACATTTCTGGATGCCCTTACCTTAATGAGATAAAAAAGAATTGTACTCACAAGTACAGCTCACACATTACAAAAAGATTTATTAATTCAAAGAAGACAGAAATCCTGTTGAACTGCCACAATAACTACATTGATGACATTTCTCGAAGCCCATACCTTATAGAAACACATATAATTGTACTCACAAGTACAACTAACACATTACAATGTGATTTATTAATTTAAAGAAGACAGAAATTCTCAAGAAATGCCACAATAGCCATACTGAAGCCCATGCCTTATAGTAATGCAAATGTATTGTATTCACAAGTACAGCTCATAGATTACAAAGACTTTTGTTAATTTAAACATGACAGAAATTTTGTTGAAAATCCAAAATTCCTACATTGAAGATATTTATGGTAGCCCAACCTAATATAAATATAAAAGTGTTGTACTCTCGAATACAGCTTACACATGACGTAGAGATTTATCAATTTAAAGAAGACAGAATTTCTGTTGAAATGCTAAAATAGCCACATTGAAGACATTTCTGGGTGGCCATACCTCATAAAAATACCAAAGAATTGTACTCACAAGTACAGCTCACACATTACAATCAATTGAGATCTATCAATTTAAAGAAGACAGAAATTCTGTTGAAACGCAAAAATAGCCAAATTGATGACATTTCTTGAAGCCCATACCTTGTAGAAATTCTAAAGTATTGTACTCATAAGTAGTTTTATCAATTTAACGATGACAGAAATTGTGTTGAAATTCCACTATTCCCACATTGAAGATATTTATGGAAGCCCAACCTACTAGAAATAAAATAGAATTGTACACACAATTAGTGCTCACACATGACGAAGAGATTTATCAATTTAAAGAAGACCGAAATTCTGTTGAAATGCTAAAATAGCCAAATTGATGACATTTCTGGAAGCCCTATACCTTAAAAAAATACAAAAGAATTTTACTCACAAGTACAGCTCGAACATTACAAAGAATATAGAAATTCTGTTGAAATGCCAGAAAAGCCATATTGAAGTCATTTCTGGAAGCCCATACCTGATAGAAATACAAAAGAATTGTACTCACATGTACAGCTAACACATTACCAAAATATTTATCAATTTCAAAAAGACAGAAATTCTGGTGAAATGCCACAATAGCCATATTGAAGACATTTCTGGAAGCCTATAAATTATAGAAATACAAATGAATTGTATTCACATGTACAGCTCATATTTTACGAAGAGATTTATCAATTTAAAGAAGATAGAAATTATTTGAAAATCTCAAATTATCTCATCGAATGGATGTTTGGAAGCCCATACCTTATAGAAAGACAAAAGAATTGTACTCACAAGTACAGCTCAAACATTAGAAAGAGGTCTTTCAAATTATAGAAGACTGAAATTCTGTTGAATTGCTACAATAGCCAAATTGAAGACATTTCTGTGAGCCGATACGTTATAAAAATACAAAAGAATTGTACTCACTCGTACAGCTCACACATTATAAAGAGACTTATGAATTTAAATTAGATAGAAAGTGTGATGAAATGCCACTGTTGCCACAATGAACTCATTTTCGGAAGTCCGTACCTTATAGAAATACAAAAGAATTGTTCTAACAAGTATAGCTCGCACATTTTGAAGAGATTTATCAATTCAAAAAGACAGAAATTCTATTGGAATGCCACAATAGCCATATTGAAGATATTTCTGGAAGCCTACACATGATAGAAATACAAAAGAATTTTACTCACAAGTACAGCTCATACATTACGAAGAGCTTTATCAATTTAAAGAAGACAGGCATTCTGTTGAAATGTTCCAGGAGACTCATTGGATGATGTCTGGTGGACATTGCCTTAAATATATACAAAAATTTTGTTCTCACAAGTACAGCTCACATCCTACGAAGAGCTTTATCTGTTAAAAAAAGACAGGCATGAAATATTCCAGTAGACTGATTACGTGAATGTCTTTTGAATGTATACATGTCATATTTTCTTTTTCCACTGAATAATTTTTCCTCGCATGTATGTATATACGTGTGGTGGTGTTTGTGTAAAATTATGATAGTTAAAAATATTTATCATTTATATTTAATTTTAAATTTTTGAAAAAAAGAGGGTTTATTTGTTATATTTAAAGCTGGTTATTTGTTTGTTTTTGATGACTGTGTATATGTAACAGGTAGAAATTTGTAATCCTTGTTATATGTATTGATTTTTTTTTGGTATAAATCCTGATAATAGATATTCTGTGTAAAATTATGATAGTTGAAGATTGCTATGATTTTTTAATTTTTAATTTACAAAAAAATACATTATTGTTATTATATTAAATCTGGTTATTTCCTTGTTTTTTTTTTTAGGTTTTTGATGACTGTGTATATGTGACTGGTAGAAATTTCAGTTTGTAATCCTTATTGGTTATTTTTATGGTGGTATTAAATATGCTGGTGAGGGGGTAGTTTACGTTAAAAATTATGGCTGTTTTATATGGCAGATGTGATGTGGTAGTAATGTGTAAGCGCGTTGGTGGCAATGATAATATAAGTGGTTAATATTTATTGTAAATTGTTAGTAGTGATTAGTAATGTTGGTGGGAGAATAATAAAAAAAACCTATAAATGTAATTATTGTGGTGCTAGCTTGAACTAAAGATTGGTTGTTGGTGTTTTATTTTATTTTGTTTTCTATATATATTTGTTTATTTATTTTGGTATGAACCCTGGTAATGAATATTTATTCTCATGGTTAAATATGGAAATTATATCTGATCTTATTGTTTTAAGGTATTAAATATGCTGGGGGAGTAAGATACGTTAATGATTGTAGTGGATTTATATGTTAATAGTAGATGTGATGTGTAAGTGATGGTATTGGGTGTTGGTGGTAATGATAATATTATTAGTTAATAGTTATTGTAAAGTGTTAGAAGTGATTACTAATGGTGGTGCAATGATAATAACGATAGATGCAATTATTGTGACGGTATCTTGAAATTAAATTGTGATTGTTGGTGGTTTGTCTTTTTTATCCGTTTGGTATGAATTCGAATAATAGGTACTTGTTCTCATGCCTACATTTGGAGATTATCTCTGATTTTTTGTTTAGCAAATTCTTTTGCGGTTTGTGTGATATTTTTGCTACTTTCTCGTGTAGGCAAAGTAGGCATTTTTTTCGTAATGTTGTTGTAGGCAGGGGCTTTTTTCAATATTTCCCAACTTATTGTTGGTGTGATATTTTTGTCTTTTTGCTGCCATATGTATATAGAAAGTGTAGTGCTGTTCGAATATTTCCTGTTGGTGAATGAAAGGTTGTGATTGTTATTCCTCATCTTGAATATATATATATCATACTGTTCATTCTCTTTATTTATCATTTTCTTTCTGTAAGTATCTCTCGCTCTCACTCTTCGTATCTCTCTCTCACTCTCTCACTTTATCTCTCTCTCTCTCTGATTAGCTATCTGTCTACCTATGCCGGTTCATCCACTCTCTCTCTCTCTCTCTTTCACTGCCTCTCTCACCATTTCCCCCTCTCTATCTGTCTATCTATACCTGTTCACCATATCTATCTATCCATCTCATCATGCTCATTACTATCTCACTCTATTTCTCACTCCCTATCTATATACCTGTTTATCCAATGTCTCTCCCTCTCTCTCTCTCTCTCTCTCTCTCTCTCTCTATCTATCTATCTATCTATCTATGCCTGTTCCTTCCACTTTTTCTCTTTTTTATCTTTCTATCTGTCCATCACTCTCTCTCGCTCTCTCTCTGTATCTAGAGACAGATATATCTTCCTGTTTATTCTTCTCTCTCTCTTTCTCTCTCTCTTACTGTATTTCTATCTAAGGTAATACCGCTTCTTTCAATTAATCCGCCAGGCACGCCATTTTTTTCTCCCTTTAGACATTCAGTCTTTGTCACGAAGAACAAAAAAAAAAAAAGTTATGGAAACTTTTCTAACCAAGGATTAATGTTTGGAATTCTCCATGAAATCGTTTTCAACAAAACTACAAATTTTATCTTTACAATTTCTGTCTCCATACTTTCTTTTTTCAGTTTTTAAACTCGCAAATTGTCTTTGATCTTTTGGAAAATTGTTTGTCTCTTGATCAGTTTTAGTTTTATCCACTCCCACATTTGACTTTCATTCTCTTTAATTCACTGCTTTGTTTTTTATTTTTTATATTTTTTATTTTTTCATTGATTTGGCTTGCATACAATTATTATTATTATTATTATTATTATTATTATTATTATTTTTTTTTGATTTATGGCGGCGTTTCTTTTTCGGTCCGGGTCCCAGGGACCTAAGGTTAGAAATGGCGTCATGACACTTTCCACTGACAAAAAAAAAAAAAAAAGACTACATAGATAAGGCCCTTCGTAAGGTGTGGGCTGTACTTGTCAGAACAATTTTCTGTATCTCCTTGAGGCATGGACTTCCAGGAATCCCTTCAATTAGTCTACTGGAATCTTTTCCAACCAGTCCTAGGGCTCCAACTACAACAGGGATTGTTGATGTTCCCATATGCCACATTTTCGCGATTTCTATTTCAAGGTCCTTGTACTTTGACAACTTTTTGAATATCTTCAAAGATACATTGCAGTCGGCAGGGGACTGCCATATCAATAAGGAGGCACCGTTTTTTTTGTGGTCTTTAATAACAATATCTGGGCGGTTGGCCTTGATTGTTCTGTCAGTGTGTATTGTGTAGTCCCACAGAATTGTAACAGGTCCTATCTCCGTAACCGGGTCTGGGTGGTGTTCATACCAGTTTCTTTCAGTTTTCTTCCCGTAGAAGTTGCAGATTTTCCAGTGCAGATATTGGCCCACTCTGTCATGTCGGGTTTTATATTCAGTGGGTGCCAACACCGTACAACCTGCTACAAGATGATCAATCGTTTCTGGATATTTGTCACAGAATCTGCATTTTGGACTGACACAATATTTTAGTATATGTGCTTGATAATTCCTAGTTAGCAAGCATTGGTCCTGCGCAGCAAGGATTATTATTATTATTTTTATTATTATTATTATTATTATTATTTATTTATTTATTATCTTTTTACTATTTATCTATTTAAATTATATATTATTATTTATAATAAATATTATTTATTTCTAAATATTTAATAAAATTTACATTACAATTTAAGTTTTAAGTTATTATAAATTTGATGATTTATAATTTTAAATATTATTATTATTATATTATTTATTTATTAAAATTATTATTCACAGTATCATTTCTTTTCAAATACTAAATAAAATTTTCATTACAGTTTAAGTTTTAAGTTATTTTAAATTGATGATATATATTTTAAATATTATTAATATTATAATTTATTTATTTATTTATATCATTATTAATAGTATAATATCTTAATAAAAATTTAATAAAATTTTTCATTACTGTTTAAATTTTCAGTTATTATGATATTGATGATTTATTTTTCGAAATATTAATATAATTATTTTGTTATTGTTGATAATTTAATTACTATTAGGTTGGTGCAAAAATAATGACGTATTAATGTCGTTTTTTGACGTTAAAAATACGTCAAAAAACGATATTATTACGTCATTATTTTTGCACCAACCTAATATTATTATTTTAATTATTAATTATATTATAAATTTTATTATTAATTATTTAGAAATATTTTGTTCTATGGATGTCCTCCTGAGTTACAATCAGAGATATAACATCTAAATGTCATCATGATATTTTCCACATTCAAAAAAAAATAAAAAATAAAAAATAAACAAAATGAGTTCACACATGATGTAAATTGATAAATGTCTTGGTCATGTGTGTGCTGTACTTCTCAGTACTACACTTTTGTATTTCTATAAGGCAAAGGGTACAAGGAATCCATACAAAAAAATACATAGTATACTCCTGTATGTACAGGACATTTGGATAGTTTTTATACACCTTATATCCAGAAAACAAATCTCGAGAATATGAGAAATTATAAAAAAAAAAGAAGAAAAACTTAAATACAGTGCCTTTTCGTCTTTAATGAAATTTGCAACAATTCGGACAAATTATGTCCATTTATTTTAGTTTTAATACTATTTAAGTCCACAAATTAATTTCTTAGTGGCTACAGAAATTTTATTAATAAAAATAACCAAAATTTTCTTCCGAATAATTTTTTTATTTTTCCAAGTACTTTCAATCTCATCTGAGACCATCTTCAGACCATATTTAAATATCTATGGATGAGTTAAGCGTTAAAACAGGAAATTTGAAATATTATTTTTTTATCTCCATGAACATAAGTAACTTATATGGTTTTAAAAAATGTTGTAAAAAGATTTTAAATTGTAGTGTTTTAAATTAAGTATATTTATGTAATACTTTGTTGTTACAAACATTGAAGAAATTTGTTGCTATATTTGTAGTTGACTGATATATATATTGCTTCCAGAATTTTAAAGTGTTTGCTTATTGTTGTCTTGATGTAGTGCTGATATATATATATATATATATATATATATATATATATATATATATATATATATATATATATATATATTCTTTTGAATTTGTAGATCTGATGAATTGGATCGTATTTACGATTCCAATGGAATAAATTATGACCATGGAATATTAGTACTTAAACCTTTTTATATATATATATATATATATATATATATATATATATATATATATATATATATATATATATATATATATATAATATATATATATATATATATATGAGAATCTAAATGAAATAATAATATAAACGAAGGAATATTAATATACAACCAAGTGTGTCTGGAGATTTTAATTTTTTATTGTTCAATATATATATAACAAATTTTTACTACGTTACTTAAAAATCGAAAACTGAAATGAAATAAATACAAATAAACAGAATAATAAACTTAGATGCGTGGGTGGTGTAATAGATAAGGGCTCAAAATTGGTAACCGGAGAGCCGAGGTCCGATACGATCACCGAAGTTAAGCAACATCCACCTAGGTCAGTACTTAAATGGGTGACCGCTTGGGAAATACCAGGTGCTGTAATCTTCGATGTGCAGGTGGTGTAATGGATAACGACTCGGAATTGTTAATCGGAAAGCCGAGGTCCGATACGATCACCGAAGTTAAGCAACATCCACCCAGGTCAGTACTTAGATGGGTGACCGCTTGGGAAATACCAGGTGCTGTAAGCGTGGATGTGCTGTGGTGTAATAGATAACGGCTCGAAATTGTTACAATTCCAATTGGGTTCGTTATATGAGCTTACGAGCAAAATACCCTTGCGAAAGGTATGAATCCAATTCTTCTCCCCAATCTATGGATTAAATAGTAAGACGTTTATCTGTATACTATTATTGTCTCCAAAAATCGTTAATACAATACTCACTCGCGAAAACAAAAGAATTTTTCTTACAAGGCCAAAATATTCTTCGGCTTTAAATAAAATACAAAAAGTTGATAAGCCGTAAAAATGAATCAGTCTATCAATCTCTCTTAGACCCTGTTTTTCCTTGTACTATGAGCGCTAGTTCGTTAGGCAGGTGATTCGTTGCTTTCTCTCTTGCCTTCACAATGTCCTGTGAGAGTTAAATTTTCCAAGTCTACTTTCCTCATTATGTGCCCTAGAAATGTCAACTCTCTGTTTTTGAGATTTAATATGAGTGTGCTTTTTGTTTCCATTTTCTCTAAAGCTTCGTCACTGCTTACGTGTTTACTAAGTAAGAATTTAATATTTGCCTAGATGAAAAAAGAAACCTTCAAGGAACGAAACGAAGTGGAATAAAAGGTTTTCTTCTTGTAATGTCATTTACTTATTTCAACGTATATATAATGCGTATATTTCGGTAGCATATTTTCATTGAATAATTTTGACATGTTCTGTCAATTTATTCTCAGTAAGATCCTTTCATATTCACCGATAAGCTTTTTTGTGTGATTATTGAAGGGTGAGAGGAAAACGCGGTGTTGATTCATATTTTTTATTGATTATCCAAATACTTTCAAACATAGCCTAATGTCATTATCAGGGTATTCTTAATTAGGTAAGGGATGTGGTATTCATGGTTGTGAATGGACAAACATTGTTGTGATCATCTGAAAATTAACTTAAGTTATATGTGGAATAAAAACGCTGTGGCTGACAAAAAAAAAAAAAAACGTTTAAGGTGCGGTAGCTCGGTATTTATGTGGGCGGGGAAGAGTCATTACGAAAGATTTTATGAGATATAGTGTAGCATATAATTTTATATTTTACTGCGATCTGTGGTGGGTGTATTAGTTTTTATTAATGTTTTTAGGATATTTTCGCCTTGCTTATAGTTAGCATGCATTTCGTTAGGATTTAAAAGGTTGATATGTTCGGATTTAGTTAGAAAAGTATTACATTCTATTTGTTTATTATAGAGATCTCTGATGACGCATCTTATTTCTTCATCAACAATATACTTAGGGAAATTTTTATTATGAGGGTTTGTTTTATATTTTTGGGTTCGCTGTAGAAAATCTGTTTTGTGGATAAATTAATATTTGCATGGTTTATTAGGGTTTTTATAATTGCTATTTTGTAGTAATTTGTAGATACGCTCTTATAGTTGAGAGTGAAGGAATTTCTGCTGGTAGGTTTTTTTTTTATATGGGGAATTTGTGAACATTGTTATTAGTGTTAATCAGTATATCGAGGAAAGGAATTTTGTTGCTATTATTAAGTTCGTATGTAAACTTAAGGACGGAGTTGTCCTGAATGCAATATATATATATATATATATATATATATATATATATATATATATATATATATATATATATATTGACGATAAAATTATTTAAATTGGAATAACCTTTGATAATTAGGAACCTAAAAACAGTCACAAGTTTCTTTAATTAATGAACAAAAATCAAACGAATAGATGTCAACTTAACAATCAATAAGAAAAAAAGTTTAGGAATATAAAAAAGATTACTAAATATAAAATGGATTATTTTTTCAATGTACTTTCTATGAGTTTTTCCAATCGACTGTTTCATAGAAAATACCCAAAGCTCCAACAAACTTCAAATCAAATTCTTCGTAGATTGTTTAGACATTTAGATTTATATCAAACCTTAACCTCCCAAATATACCATTTAAAGGAATGTGAAATAACAGCGTCTAAGAATTTGAGTGAAACCTGCCCTCAAGGAATTGATTTATTATTGTTGTTTGTTGTAGCTTCTTTGTTTAATGTCGGTCTTCTCCCTCACCCCTTACCCATTTATATCTAGAGATAACACGCGCTAAGTTTAAGCGACGTCTAGTCTAAACAGAGTGGGGTTAAGGATAAAGAATTGAAATGGTACGTCTAACTCAGTCATATCTTCTCTCCCACCTCACTTCCTCACTTCGTTAATTTTACATATGCTTGGTGCGGTCCGTCAAAAATGTGTAAATTTTTTTTAATTTTTCATTTCAACTTTTGGAAGTAAAGTCTGATGATCCAGAGCCCTTTTAAGGGGGTTGTGGTGAAATAACTTATTACATGGAACCTTAAAGTGGTATGTTTTTATTCAAACAAATATATATATATATATATATATATATAAAACATTAGGCAGCATATGATTTACATACAAAAGAAATAATCACACATAGAATTAATCAAGTATTAATGCGATTATTGGCGACATCCATCGCTACAAACATAATATATGTTTTTAAATCCTGTTCATCCATAGTGCGATTTTTTGATCCTTGACGAACTGAAAAACTACAGACAATGTTTTTTCGATGGAGGATCAAAATCGCATTAATACTTCTGATTAATTCTATGTGTGATTATTTTTTGTATATATATATATATAATAGAGAAAAAGGTGCTCCGGTGTTAGAATCGACGTAGTATTGCTGACTAGCTTAAAAGCCGCTCCCGGAGGGTACTTGATTGGGTCTTCATTACAACAGATAGGGAGGAGTAGATGCGATAGGCATCAATAAACTACAGATGAACTCAAAATTGACCGCTGCATTTAAATATTGCATCTATATTTAAGGTTACCTTTTTAAAAGTTCAACGATAATTCTGCTGCCATTTAATTTAAAGACAATTTTATGCATGTAGAAACAATTATTTTGATAGACTTACAAGTTGTGCTATCCGAGGTTTTTTCCAACCGTGTATTTAGTATATATATATATATATATATATATATATATATATATATATATATATATATATATATATATGCAAGCAAATATATGGATATAGATCCGACAGTATGAAGAAAAATATACAGAAAAAAAAAAAAAAAATCTTAATATGCAATTATGCTGTATTAATGTTAATATAAAGTCAACGTCGGACGTTTCGGTCTATTTTAGACGACGTGATCATATTTAAACGGAATGCTGATCTTGTACAAAAAAATCAGTTGTTTGGATTAATTGTGCTCTTATGTCCATCGTCTTTTTCATGATGAGTTTTATATGTTCTAATGTTAGTTAAGTTTTATGAATAAGTCCTGATGATGGTCTAAAATAGACCGAAACGTCCGACGTTGACTTTATTAACATTAATACAGCATAATTGCATATTAAGATTTTTGTTTGTTTTTTCTGTATATTTTCTTCATATATATATATATATATATATATATATATATATATAGTGTAACCCGGATATAAGAGAGTTGTCGGGACCGGAGAAGGTCTCTTATATCCGGTTTCTCTTGTATCCGGGTTTGGTCTATTTTATATACATTAACACAGGCTCTAATTTGAGACCAGAGAAAATCTCTCTTATATCCGGGTTTCTCTTATATCCGGGTCTCTTATATCCGGGTTACACTGTATATATACTAGCTTAAAAGCCGCCCTATCAGGTGGCATCATTTAAGCTAGCTCCTGCAGAGGGCACTTGACTGGACCTTCATCACAATAAGTAATGGGGAGTAGTTGTGATAGGGAACAATAAACTACAGAACTCAAATTTGATCGCTAAAATGTCTACACCATACAAATTTTATTTTGGAATGATATCTACATAGTAAAACATGATAACATATATATATATATATATATATATATATATATATATATATATATATATATATATATATATATAACAGAGAAAATGTGCTCGGTGAAATATTGTTGATTAGGTTAAAAGCCGCTCTAGGAGTGTTCTTATTTTAGACTTCATCACAATAGTTAGAGAGGAGGAGATGCGATAGGCAACAATAAACTACAGAAGAACTCAAAATTGATCGCTGCATTTAAGTATTGCATTAATATTTAAGCTTGTCTTTTAAAAATTCAACGATAATTCTTCTGCCGCCACTTAATTTAAAGAACCAATTGATGTGCGAAGGTCCTTACTTTCCGTACAAACTATTCTTTTTATTTCATGGGTGACATTCGTAATTAATTTCTATTATTCTCTAAATAATTTTCAAGTTGTGAAGAGTCTTATCGTACAAAAGAATTCGTCGCGAGAAATTACGCACACAAAACGACAATAGCAATCGCAGCAATAAAAACTTGGGAATCCAAAATTACATATCCGGATCCGGTCCAGAATTTTGTTAACTTGCTCACGGGGTTGACCTGATTCCAAAATGGTATGATATGTTGGGCTACGCCCTCTAGGAGTAAAGTTAAAAAAGTGTGACACACTGACATTTGTATTTATTATATAAATGACATAGATATTTTAATGTGTATCCAGAAGTATTTTGATTTGGACTGAATATTTTGATTTGAATCTCTGGGATTATTTCCTAATGAGTTAAGTGCATTGACAAGGAGGAGGAGTAATCTGCTGAATAAATTTCTATTGCGCAGAACAAATTCTCTTTGCTACAAGGAAGTAGGGATTTATCGATTTACGTACATATTTCGACGAAGATACAGGTCTCTGTCTCCAGACATGCATCTGTGAACCTTACTGTAAAAGTGGTGTCGTCCTGACCCAAACGAGAGTCGGGTTTCTTGCCAGCTGTTTTGGTTGGCCGAAAAGTCGGTCTCAACCAGGTCGTCCTGACGGGTAGACCTCAGGATGATGTAATATCCAGACACAGATCGATTCACCCACCAGTCAAAAGGATATCATGCCGAATCATCAATACGAAAAAAGAATTGGTTGAAAAAAATTTAAGGGTTAGGGTTAAGGGTAAGGGTTTGGATCAGGATTAGGGTTTTTAAATCGAGTTGAAATTAGTTCGGAGTTGGAATTAATTCCGAGTTGAAATTAGTTCCGAGTTGAATTTAGTTCCGAGTTGAAATTAGTTCCGAGTTGGAATTAGTTCCAAGTTGGAATTAATTCCGAGTTGAAATTAGTTCCGAGTTGAAATTAGTTCCCGGTTGGAATTAGTTCCGAGTTGGAATTAATTCCGAGTTGAAATTAGTTCCGAGTTGGAATTAGTTCCTAGTTGAAATTAGTTCCGAGTTGAAATTAGTTCCGAGTTGGAATTAATTCCGAGTTGGATTTAGTTCCGAGTTGGAATTAATTCCGAGTTGGAATTAATTCCGAGTTGGAATTAGTTCCGAGTTGGAATTAGTTCCGAGTTGGAATTAGTTCCAAGTTGGAATTAATTCCGAGTTGAAATTAGTTCCGAGTTGAAATTAGTTCCCGGTTGGAATTAGTTCCGAGTTGGAATTAATTCCGAGTTGGAATTAGTTCAAAGTTCGAATTAGTTCCTAGTTGAAATTCGTTCCGAGTTGAAATTAGTTCAGAGTTGGAATTAATTCCGAGTTGAAATTAATTCCGAGTTGGAATTAGTTCGAGTTGGAATTAATTCGAGTTGGAATTAGTTCGAGTTGGAATTAGTTCCGAGTTGGAATTAATTCCCAGTTGGAATTAGTTCCGAGTTGGAATTAATTCCGAGTTTAAATTAGTTCCCGGTTGGAATTAGTTCCGAGTTGAAATTAGTTCCGAGTTGGAATTAATTCCGAGTTGGAATTAATTCTGAGTTGGATTTAGTTCCGAGTTGGAATTAATTCCGAGTTGGAATTAGTTCCGAGTTGAAATTAGTTCCGAGTTGGAATTAGTTCCGAGTTGGAATTAGTTCAAAGTTCGAATTAGTTCCTAGTTGAAATTCGTTCCGAGTTGAAATTAGTTCCGAGTTGGAATTAATTCCGAGTTGAAATTAATTCCGAGTTGGAATTAGTTCCGAGTTGGAATTAATTCCGAGTTGGAATTAGTTCCGAGTTGGAATTAGTTCCGAGTTGGAATTAATTCCGAGTTGGAATTAATTCCGAGTTGGAATTAATTCTGAGTTGAAATTAGTTCCGAGCTGAAATTAGTTCCCGGTTGGAATTAGTTCCGAGTTGGAATTAATTCCGAGTTGAAATTAGTTCCGAGTTGGAATTAGTTCCTAGTTGAAATTAGTTCCGAGTTGAAATTAGTTCCCGTTTGGAATTAGTTCCGAGTTGGAATTAATTCCGAGTTGAAATTAGTTCCGAGTTGGAATTAGTTCCGAGTTGGAATTAGTTTCGAGTTAGAATTAATTCCGAGTTGAAATTAATTCCGAGTTGGAATTAGTTCCGAGTTGGAATTAGTTCTGTCACTCCTCGTTTTTGAGTAATTAAGTTTAATGCTTAGCCTGTAGAAAGTGTTCTTCGTTGTCAGGCGTACGAGCGGATCTCAGGTCTTCTTCGATCCATAGTTTGTGGTGCCACGGATCCTGCCTCAGCAAAGGCTAAATGACTCGGCTGCCTTCGGTCTGGGAACGCAATCTGATACAGCCGTGCAGCTTCGCGTCCATATTTAAAAATCATATCTGCCCGCTCGCGATAAGAATATCCTGCCATTTTTAAACGGAACACTTCCCTGTTAATTCACTACTACACACGTTAAACGTTGAAAATAGATAAACCAAAAATGTATACGAATAACAAATGTAACATAGTCTACGTGGCAACACAGCGTCTTATACCGTAAACTTTCTTTAAGTTTAACTAAAAAATGAAGGATTTGCGGACATATGTTTATATGGACTATTGTCCTTGTTTTCCACCCATATCCGTTTGTCTGTTTGTCGTTGAGGAGGAAAATAATATGATTTAATATAAGTTATGAGAAAACGAGTGCGGTTTAGGAAAAGAGAAAGAAAAGACAAGGTTTAATAATATTTCGACAGTGTATCTGACTTCTTAACGTTATGTCCAAAAAATGCATACAAGTATAAAAATATAAAAAATAAAGATACGTGTCTTCGTACAAACGTAATTATTATTAATAATAATAATAATAATAATAATAATAATAATAAGAAGAAGAAGAAGAAGAAGAAGAAGAAGAAAAAGGAAAATAAAAAAAGTACCAGTCATAGTACGTGCGCTTGGAATGATAAAAAAAGGAACACAACAACGCATAAAAAAATCCCTAGAAATCTCAGCTTAAGATAAATACAAAACATTGTCCTGATACTTACGGTTGACACAATAAGAAGAAATGTGTCCATGAAACGATAGTGATGTTATGGGTGTTAGAAAAATATATCATGAAATGTAGCCATTAGACTCCACTACCTGCTTTAGTTCTTTTCGCAGACTTGGTAGGGGACATAGCAGAAATCGAAATATAATAATAATAATAATAATAATAAAGAGCGCAATTTAAGAAAAAGAAAAGAAAAGAAAAGACGGTGTTTGACATTGTTTAAGAATATCGAAATATTCTTAACCATTATTAAAGATTGTGCCTTTTCTTTTTCTTTTTCTTTTCTTTCCTTTTTTCTTTTTCTTTTTCTTTTCTTTTTCTTTTCTTTTCTTTTCTTTTTCTTTTCTTTTCTTTTTTCTCTTTACTTTTTCTTTTCTTTTCTTTTCCTTTTTTCTTTTCGTTTCTTTTTCTTTTCTTTTTTTCTTTTTCTTTTCTTTTCTTTTCTTTACTTTTTTCTTTTCTTTTCTTTTCTTTTTCTTTTCTTTTCTTTTCTTTTCTTTTTTCTTTTCTTTTTCTTTTCTTTTCTTTTCTTTTTTCTTTTCTTTTTCTTTTCCTTTTCTTTTCTTTTTCCTTTCTTTTCTTTTCTTTTTTCTTTTCTTTTCTTTTCTTTTCTTAAAGTGCGTTCTTCTCTAAATATTGGAAGATTTATTAAAAAATATTTTTTCTGCTATTATTATTATTATCATCAAAATCACCTACTTGGCACCTTACAGGTGGCAATAATGCCGGTTTAGTGATGGTCATCATATGTGCATGGTATTGATTGATTCTGGTTTTTGCTGGTTATTTAAAGCCAGGAAATATTTTGAGATTTTAAGATTTTTTAAGCAGACATATATATAAATATATACAAGAATTAGTAAAGAGTTTAGAATTTCTTGTTTGAAGTCACTCCCAAAATAGTTTTATTACCACGCGTTTTTCTCGGTTCAAATTACTTCTGTTTTCTCTTAGTCGCCCAGGGATTTGAAAGTCCATGTTAACCTAGATTCATATATCAGTGTTATAGCTTACATTTATTTGATGTGAGTATGTGACCCTGTGTCACAAACTCGCATCAATACAACTATATATATATATATATATATATATATATATATATATATATATATATATATATATATATATTCTTCCCAGGACGTATATGCAATGTGATCATTTCTGTCTTCAGGTCTCGAATCCAGTCACTTTTTTTCACCGACGTAATCTGGCTTCCCTCTGTCTTTTCTATAAATGTTTTCATGTCACCTGCTCTGACGAGCTATTTTCCCTGCCCCCCCAATTACATGAATTTAAGCGTGCCACTAGGTTGGCCTCTCGGTCCCACCCTTTTATTGTCGAAACCGTTAAATGTAACCGCCTCTTCTACTCCAACAGCTTCTCTCGCGCTTCCATTTCTCTTACTTGCTTCTCTGATTATTATTTTTCAAAAAATTTAAATGTAAAGTCAATCGACATCTTCTGTTGCCTTCATCCCCGTTATTCATTTTATTCTTTCCTCAATCTCCTCTGTGTTCAGTCTTTTCCATTACTTTCACCCTCTGTAGCCCCATGCGTGTTAGTGGCACTGTCCCCTTGCTTAGGGTGAAATGCTTAAAAACAAACAAACAAAACAAACAAGCACCCCCCCATATATATATATATATATATATATATATATATATATATATATGTTGTGGATTCCGAGATGAAATTCGGTCTCCAATGAATGACAAACGCAAGAAATAAAGATAAGAAATTAAATGCATTTACACAATAATACAAAGGGTAATTATGTTAGGAAATCCAGGAACGCGGTTCGTCGCTATAATAATATATATATATATATATAGACAGTTTCGAAGTATGACTTCCTTAGAGTCAACGTGCTTGTAACTGAGAATTCTACAAGCGGTTACCTCACACTACCTCCAACTCAATCACAATCTCTGCTCACTCAATCTCTGTTTATATTCTGACTGTCTCTGGGTATTTAACGACAGCAGTCCAAGTAACACTCTGGTCGAGTCCACTTATATGAAAAAGGGGAGGACCCCATAACAATATCACTGTCATAATTCATTGCCTGAACAATCACTCACCATCCTGGCCCAGGCTTCCCATTTTGTAGAAATGTTCTCTTGTTATAGCTATATTGCTGACACATCCTCAATTTAAAATTAGATTTATTTAAACCTGAAAGACAGAAGATGGCGATCGTTCTCGTATTTAAACTTTTGAAAATTAGAGGAGACATGAATACAAGAAACCAGAATAGAGTTCCACAAGGGAGGAGTCCGAGAAAAGAAACTATTAAATATTAAAGTATAGCTTATGGTTACATGTAGTTATTTCAACAACAAATCAATGAGGCTTAATACCAATCAAGTAGTACACTTAAATTCATGCAGTCACGGACCCTAGGAGGGAAGCTTATCTGAACAATTGCTGTGGAAATATTTGTAGAAAAGATAAAGGGGTGCCCAGTCATGTTGGTGATTAAGTGACTGGATCTTAGATGCTAGGTCAGGATTGATTAAAATTTGTCATTTCCCTGGACTTTTTATCTTGTTTTGGTGTAAGGAACCTGCTCCCAATATTTGTAAATGTATTTTTGATATATAAAGCGTAGAACAGACACTTTCCTGTTTATAAATATGGAATTGACTGCGTTCAATAATAAGCCGAGAATAGATGTGCGACTCGTATTGCTGGGAATAAGTCATACCACACCTTTCTTCTCTGTTCACCATTCGTTTTACTTATAGATTGTCCTCTTGGGAAAAGGCTGACCGAATGAGTTTTGTCGCGTCTAGAAACTTTGGCTTATTTGAAATCTTTCATTTAATCGTTGGCATCCACGTCCAAATCTCCATAACCAGTGTGAACCTTCAGCCTGAAGAACATCGGCTGTGGTTTGACCTGGAGAAGGATGGGTTCCGCCAGGTCTAATTGCCTAGAACAGCTACGCCTGAATGAACATCCCTTCAGTTTTAAGTTAGGGTATGTAGAGAGAACTGCTCAGGTGTACAGTCACCCGACCACCGAACGCAGTCATAGACATGAAGGCGATAATGACGATGATGCTGATGAAACTCTTATTTAATTTTAATGTAATTGGCAAAATTTTGGGTATTTTCAGAAGTATTAGGTTGGCCAGAAAGTCCCGACTCACTTAGGAAGCGGAAAGAAAACAACAAATCTTGATCTTTGTCTGGTGGAATTTCCAAGGTGTATTGCATTTCGAGCTTGTTCCACACGGTCGCGCCAACAGAGCTAAACGGTATTGCGAGCAGCTAGACCTCGTGTACGACAAACTAAAGAAGCGGTATCCTGCTTTGGTCAATCGGGGTCTGGCTTCGTTTCAATGCGAGTCCACACCTTGCCAAGTTGAGTAAGGAGAAATTCAAACAGATGGACGATGTTGAGATTCTTCCACATCCACCATTCAATCCCGATGCAGGTTCGAGTGACTAGAGCCTATTCCGCTCAATGGCACACTTCCTCCACAACCAGCGATTCAACACTTTTGATGAAGTGAAGTAAGCTTGTTTAAATTTTTTTAATCAAAGCCAGCGGTCTGGAATCTGGGACAGATTCAGATGACAGAATATTGTCAAGAATAATGGACTTTATTTTGAATAAATATTGGTGTTGCTAAATAAAATTTTGTTGTTTTCTTTCATCTTTCTGAATGAATCAGGACATACTGGTCAATGGAATATATTATGGAAAGATTTGATAATAAGGTCATGGTGGAATTTCCAAGGTGTACTGCATTTGGAGGTTTTTCCACACGACGCGCCATGAAGGCTAAACTGTATCGCCAGCAGCTAGACAGCGTGTACGACAAACTAAAGAAAGAGTGTCCTGCTTTGGTCAATAGAAGTCTAGCTTTCTTTCAACAAGACAACGTGAGTCCACACACTGTCAGCTTGACTAAGGGGAAATTCAAACAGATGGACGATGTTGAGATTCTTCCACATCCACCATTCAGTACCGATACTGCTTCGAGGGACTAGAGCCTATTCTGCTCAATGGCACACTTCCTCCACAACCAGCGATTCAACACTTTTGATGAAGTAAAGGAAGCTTGTTTGCAGTTTTTCTTTATATTCAAAACCAGCGGACTGGTATCTGGGACAGATTTAGATTTAGATGCTGGCTGATAGATGGCAGAAGATCGTCGAGAATGAGGGACTTTATTTTGAAGAATAAATGTTGGTGTTGCTCCATAAAATTTTGTTGCTTTCTTTCAGCTTCCTAAGTGAATCAGGACTTTCTGGCTAACTCAATATCTCAGGAATGATGTGGACTATTATCCTTATCTTTGTTGTTTTTTATCACAGTATTTTGTGAAATATATTGTGATATATATATATATATATATATATATATATATAAGAATAAAATGGACAAAGTACTTTTTTCTGATTGGCGGATCTGATAAGTTAAATTTATTGCAGCAGTTTCCTTACAGTTTTTCCTACTGCCTCGTGACTGTAACTGGATAAATTCTGTATTAGTTTATCGACATTTTTCCCCTTAGCTGTCACAGTTAAGTTTTTAATTCCGACACGAACTCAGTCTATAACGGGTTTGAATAAGATAGCTTTCGTTGGTTTAAATAAGCCTATTTGAGGTAATTTTGAATTTTATTGTGTTATATATATATATATATATATATATATATATATATATATATATATATACTTTAAAAATTAGAAAGATTTATTTCCTCACTAGTAACCCATCTCTGACTTTCATCCATGAAATTTCATTACATGTGAAATACAGAGTTATTATACTGGTGAGGAAAAAATATAAATATAAAAAAAAATCTTCTAATTTTGAAAGTATATATATATATATATATATATATATATATATATATATATATATATATATATATTATTTATTTAAAAATATGATTCCAACACAATTATATTTATGCTCTATTTTTGTATCGAGCACTGTTTTTTAAAATAATAACAAAAATTACTAAAGAACTTTGGATTATTTACCTAACGAGTTATTTCTATTTTCTATATATTTTTCTATATATATATATATATATATATATATATATATATATATATATATATATATATATATATATATATGTGTGTATATAATTTCAAAATTAGAAGATTTTTTATATATTCTCCTCTTTAAGATAAATAATTACCACCCTCTGACCCCTGTCTGATGCCTATAGTCTGACTTAAACATTGAAAAGTGCCGACTCTGTATATGAGGTAATTTTGAATTTTATTGTGTACTATATATATATATATATATATATATATATATATGTACTCGCGTGTGTATGTGTCGGGCGTATTATATTTATGAATATATGGAACTGGATATAATCTCATGTAACTTATACCCACTGTTTTTACTTATTGTATTTTTGGTGTCTTTAATCTACAGACACATACTCTTAATGAAGCCCCTTGATTTGAACGTCTGTTGAAAGCAAAGTTAAATTACGACCTACAGTGGAACGATTCGTCGCTAAAATGTTGGAAAATGGTGGGCTTCTTGGAGCATAAGTAACTAACTCTTTCTAACACGTTTTATCTTCACCCAAGAAATAGATGAGATCAAAAATAGAGCATTACTATCATATTTAGCCTAGGGCTCTTCTGTCACGGTAGAATTTTAAAACCTTTATGTGGCCTTGTGGGTGATGTATTGTTTTCCATCCTATAGCCTCTTGTCCATAGACTAATATCTATTTGATTTGATTCTTACCGTAAATTACAGAGACCGTCAATCAACAGCAATGGGGATACTGAACTGGTCACTATTAAACAAAAAATAAGGCTTTCTTAATAGAGACGAAGTTTAATTTTCTTCATAAAGTTCTTAGTCAGACTTGACTTCAGGATTAAATATAAGCTCTCAGTTAAATTCTGAACTTTACGTAAAAGTATTGTTAACCTTTTTTTTTTCTAGACAATATCTTACAACATCCCCACGTGAAAAAAAATGTCTAAAATTTCCTCTGTAAAAAAAACAAAACAAAACAAAAAATCCCCAAAAACCTGCAACAGTCATTATGACCGCAACAGATGGAAAAATCCGGCAGAAAGAAAATTCGTGAAGCAAGTCATCACAATTCACAGTTTCGAAACAATTCCCTTTTGATGTGTAGGCCGGAAATCAGCAAGGAATGTCACGACGCATGCGTGTTTCTGTAGACAAGATGGCGGGCAGCGTGCTTTTCGGAATAAGTTCACAACGGGAGGTGGGATTCTTTTGAATAAAAGGAATCGTTAGTCCATTTTAGATGACTTTCCTAATTTTACCTGATTTTTTTATTCAGTCAGTCAGTATTAATATGAATATTCACTTTTTCTTGTTATAAAACGTACGCCAGGAAAGTTTTAAAGTTGGCTGAGTTAAGGTTTTGTCGCTGTTGGAGGATATCAAGCAATAAATTGTATGACTTGAGATATTTTTTATGAAAGCGCCAGTTTTCTGCTTGTTTACCAGAATAATTTATTTATATATTCATTGTATTATTATATTCTGTTTTCTTATCGGGAAAGGTGAATGTCACGACTTTTTCATTGATGTCTTTGATACTGTAATTTTTTATTTGCACTATCATGGCTAAGATCGAATCTTTAGTGCATTTATGGTGAAAAAGAATATGATTAAACCCCAGACTCTATCTATCTATCTATCTATCTATCTATCTATCTATCTATCTATCTATCTATCTATCTATCTATCTAAGTCTATTCATCTCTCTCTTTTCTCTCTCTAAGTCTATTCATATCTATCTATCTATCTATCTATCTATCTATCTATCTATCTATCTATCTATTCATCTATCTAAGTCTATACATCTCTCTCTTTTCTCTCTCTAAGTCTATTCATATCTATCTATCTATCTATCTATCTATCTATCTATCTATCTATCTATCTATCTATCTATGTCTATTCATATCTACTTCTGTCTATTCATTTCATCTATCTATCTATCTATCTATCTATCTATTATCTATCTATCTATCTATCTCTCTCTCTCTCTCTCTATATATATATATATATATATATATATATGTCTATTCATATATATCATCTCTCACTCTAAGTCTATTCATATCTATCTATCAATCTCTCTATGTCTATTCATATCTATCTATCTATCTATCTATCTATCTATCTATCTATCTATCTATCTATCTAAATCTAGCTATCTATTTATGTGCGAGTGTATTTCGTGGCAGGGATATTTTCGTGCATGCTTCTGGCGCCTGTTGTCCGCGTTTTAACTCAGTAAACAATTCGATCGCTGATTGGAAAATGCACTGCTTTGAAAAATCACTCACCAATGTCGTGATAAAACCCACTCTTTAAGTACTAATACAAATTGTAACGATGTCAGGACACACATATTGATACTATTCCTTGCAGCGGTAAACACATGCACCAACTACACTCAATATGGGTGTCTTCATTTAAAAATGGTTTGATTTTAAAACCGCATAGTCTGAAGGGTTGAATGGCAATAAAAAAAAAATAAATCCCTAATAAACTTTCTTGCGACATTCCGGATACGTTGTATTTTGTTGGGGCTGTAGGCAACATCTATCTATCTATCTATCTATCTATCTATCTATCTATCTATCTATCTATGTCTATTCATATCTATCTCTCACTCTAAGTCTGTTCATATCTATGTCTATTCATATCTATCTATCTATCTATCTATCTATCTATATCTATCTATCTATCTATCTATCTATCTATCTATCCTGAATGTCAATAAAAAAAGTAAAATGTCCTAATTGTCAAGGAACTTTCTTGCGATATTCCGGATACGTTGTATTTGGGGGTGGGGGCTGTAGGCGATATCTATCTATCTATCTATCTATCTATCTATCTATCTATCTATCCTGAATGTCAATAAAATAGTAAAATGTCCTAATTGTCAAGGAACTTTCTTGTGACGTTTTTAGATACTTTGTATTTTTGGGGGATTTATGGGGGACAATATGTGACATTTTGGCGACCTCCCCCCCTGCCTTAACCGACACATGGGACAGTGGATAAAGGCGTTGGTTAGATCCAGTGACAGGACTCAAAGAGTTGTAAGTTCAATATCTGGTTAAGGCAGTGGAGAACTTGAAGAGGACAATTGATGTTCTAGTTACACTCTTTTTGGTGTTTACTTATTTGTTTTGTTTTTTTTTATTTGTTGTTGATGGTTTCTTAAAGAGGTGATAAGATTATGATTGGGTTGTATTTTTAAACCAATAGTTTTAATTGAATTTACTTATAGATTTTATATGGTAGTGTGTAATTATTTATATATGGTATTATGGATTTTTTAAAAATATAATTTAGAATTTAACTTCTCTTGCGAATTTTTTTCTATCCACTTATAAAATACTAATTTCTTAAGGCGAAAACCGTTATTTCATTTCTTTGATTCAATAAATTTTTGTTTTTTTAGAAACTTGAAGTTTTTCCTGTAGGCATCATCCCTATTTATTATTTTCAATGTTACTGTTTTATTTTACATTATTCGGACTATTGTCCTCATCTTTATTACAACGTTTCCGACCTTCTTCAGGTGCTTGGAATGTCGAACTGACCCCTTTTATTTCGCTAACTGTTCTATTTCCAAAAGTCAGTTATCAGTTATCTCGGTCTAATTTCCTTACTGTCACTGGATCTAACTAACGCCTTTATCCACTGTGCCATGTGAGTTCAATACCTGGTTAAGTCAGTGGAGAACTTGAAAAAGGGGAATTAACAGGAGATAACTGACATCCATTAAAAACATGGCACGTGGAACTAGAACAGTCTACCCCAGCGAACGAGATAAAGGGTTCAGTTCGACATTCCAACCACCTGAAGGAGGCCGGAACTTACAACGGCCGAAACGTTGTAATAAGTATGACGACAAAGATGAGGACAACAGTCCGAATAATGTAAATAGTATACATAATACCGCATCTCAGAAATATACTACTAAAAACCTATGTATCAATTTACATGCCTGTTCAGAGATGTGACACAAGGCCGAAATTAGGGGGGCGCCCAGTGAGAAACGAATTCATTTCTCAGTCATAATTGTTTTAGCGAGACAAGCTTGCTAGCCATTACACCACCTCGAGGTGCCCAAATCCACTACATATATTGGTTTTACTACAACCACACTCTCCCGTAGACTCACCTGTCACCTTTCTGATCTTAGCTCAATTAAATAGCATTTCTTAGAAAAACATGTACATAATATTAGACAGATATTAGTTGATAACACAATAATTCTCACACATACACACAGTAAACAGAATCTTCAGATATTAGAAGCAATCTACATTAAAACAAAGCAACCCACACACAACAAAATTGCATTTCAAACTAGTCACAACACATTACATTGATTTTCTTGTAATATTTCGGTCTATCCCGTTGTATGACGTCATAGAACCGCATGTTCAACTTACGATCTGTCTCTGATATTCTGTGACTGTTATCGTCGCATAGGCAATCTTCTATGTCATAATAACAAAATGTCATCTTTGACGATGGATAACTTTGTTTCATGTCTGTATAACCACACTGAAGATGGCTCATGTGTGTCGAAAGCTTAGGACAAACTTTATAAAAAAAAATTTAAATGTTGGACAGTTTTGTTTTTATTTTTAGCAGAAATTAATGCAAACATTCGAACATAAGAACGGTTCCTTGTCTGTTATATTTAATAATATATGTTTCATTAATAATCTGTTGCTCCAATACATTATATATATATATATATATATATATATATATATATATCTTGAAAAATTAGAAGATTTATTTCCTCACCAATAACCAATCTCTGACTTTCATGCATGAAATTTCATTGTGTGAAATACAATTATACTGGAGGGAAAAAATATATATATATATATATATATATATATATATATATAAATCTTTCTAATTTTGGAAGTAATATATATATATATATATATATATATATATATATATATATATATATATGAAGAAAAATATACGGAAAAACAAAAAAAAATCCTAATATGCAATTATGCTGGTTTAATGTTAATAAATGTCAAATCGGACGTTTCGGTCTAATAGACCATCTTCAGGACATATTCATAAAAACATAATTAACATTAGACTATATTCATTTCAACATGACAAAGACGATGGACATGAGAGCAAGACTAATCCAAACAGACAACTGTTTGGATTAGTCTTGCTCTCATACACACGCGCGTATATATATATATATATATATATATATATATATATATATACAAAAACACACACGCACACATATGTATATATATATATAAGTATAGGATTGGTGTATACAGAATAAATTCCAATTACCAACAAATACTATTCTTAAAAGAGCACTCAATACAGAGTAGAGCAAATATAATTATTTATTCGAAAATTATAACATAAATATGTTATAAAATCACTACAAAAATAGCCATTTTGGTTCAACACTTCTGCTGATGATGTTGAATGTAGAATAAAGGGTTTTAAAAGGTTCAAATACATATGTATATGTATATCTATGTATATATATAAATCTACATATATATATACATATATATATATATATATATATATATATATATATATACATATATGTATATTTATATAGATATGTATATATATGTTTATATATAGATGTATACATGTGTATACATATGTATATATATGTATATATATATGTATATATATGTATATTTATATGTGTATATGTATATATAGGCATATATATATATTTTTTATATATATATATATATATGTATGTATATATATGTATATATGTATATATATGTACATATATATGTATATATATATATATATATATATTATATATATATATATATATATATATATATATATATATATATATATATATATATGTGTGTATTATATCATAAAGAATACAAAGAATTAATTAGAAATGTTCATGTGATTAATGGTGAAAACACCTCGCTAAAAAGACTTAATGAGCCATTAACTTATTAACAATTCTTTGAATAATACGATCCTTATATTTGAGTTGTTGTATATTTGAATTGTTGTCAGATGGAACTGACGAGCCAAGTACTTTCGACAATTTCAAATTATCATCTTCGTAGCGTAATTTTCCATATACCGGCAAAACACTAAGACGAAATGTGTGTAGTGTAGACAGAATGATGTTTTTTATTTGTTTTTTTTTTTAAATATGCAGTTTATTGACAATTGTACTATTTAAGAGCGTGCAATGTCACGACGTTAGAGTTCTTGTTCAAATCAATCAAGTGAGAATTTTTGTAAAACGCTTGATTCGATTTGTGAAGTTGAATTAAAAGAAAAATACGAAAAAACTAAGAGTATTTTTTTTCCTAATCTGGCTTCGAAATGACATTTCTTTCTCTCTTCTAGGTGTTTTCCCACTTTCAAGTTGCGAATTCCTCGATAGCTCAACTCGATTGGATTTTTTCCTTTAATTTGAATTTATAACGTATACAACGTCGCTTACTCACTGTTTAATTTATTTCTCAAGAATGAGACTGCAAAAGATTTCCGAAATATAATCTGTTTTAACAATAAATGATCCGTTGGAATTAAAGTTTTTGTTCTTTTAAGTGAGAATTCTGTTTGAATTTTGTAATGCAATAAATCCACGAAATTTTCTTGTTATATATGTTTTTCAGTTAAAATGACATGGACTTAAGTAAAGTCCAAATAGTAGAGTAAAATGTCTTAGTATTTTTAGTTCATGTTATATTGTTTTTATGTGCTATGCCCTGTCAGGACGTATGCGATCATGGCCTTTCTCTTCCCCCTATCACTTGTGGCTCTCAAGAGATTTTGTTTCTGCCAACTTCCCCAGACCACGCTTCGCCATCCACATGACGAAACCCGCCAGCACACGTCACGTTATGCGCTGATTCATACTACAGGCACTTAAATGAATCCAATAAAACACCTACTGAAAAATGAAATTATAACGAAAAGCTAGATGATGTAGGCCAGTGAACGACCCATGTCCTTTGTACATACATATGAAACTTTATTACTAAGTTTTTATATATATTTAAAATAAATAAATTAATTAATTAATAAATAAAGTTTACTAAATCTGAGAAATAAATTAGCTATTTTTTGCAGTAAGTGCCATAAATATTATTTAAATAATATTTAAATATAAAAAAGTTTAAAAAATTGTAATATATATATATACTTTGATATGGAAAATAATTTTTACTTACTATAAATAATTTCAAATACATTTCCTTCTGTTATAAAGTAATATAGTCTATTAAAACTAACAATGAAAATATTTTAAAGTTGTAATTAAAATTGTAGTTAAATAAAATGAATTCTAACCTAAACTTCTTTTACTTAGTACTACACGCACTTAAAAGAATCCAATAAAACACCTATAGTAAAATAAAATTAATATGAAATGCCAAAAGATGTAAGCTTTTTGAATGACCCATGTCCTTTGTACTTACATGAGAAACAATATATTACTAGGTTTTATATATAAAAATAAAACTTTTACTAAATCAGTGAAATTAAGTAACTATTTTTGACGTCATTGTCATAAATTTTACTTAAATAATAAAAAAAAAATAATAAAATAAAATAAAATAAAAATGTAACCTAATATACATACTTATACTTGATGTAAAAAATAATCCTACATACTATAAGGGATTCTAATACATTTAACTGTTCTTAAAAAAATATAGTATAATAAAATTAAAAATGAAAATATTTCAAATCGTAGTTAAATAAAAAAGTATTCTAATCTAAATACCCGCGAAAATCTTTAAATTTACAAATTTAAAAATGTAAGAATTTTTTGCCGTTAACAATAAATTTAAAAAATCCAGACAACAAGCATTCAACGGATGTCAGTTTTCATTGGAAAATACATCCCACCCCTTACCAAAATGTAGCTAATAACCGATACAATGATGCAGACATAAGGAAAACCCAGTTGTCCAGTTGAAGTAGATTTATCTGTAACCATGGAAACGTGATTTTAGCTGTGTCTTTAAAACCCAGTAATTTTAAAAGTTACTCCAAAATTCGCTTGAGGATGAAATGGAAATAATGTCTTTAATTTCATTGCAAAAATTAAATTGTGGCTTTTTAGCTTCCATTTTGAAACATGGTTAGAATTGTGTAGCGAAAAAAACATATTTTAAATCAATATATATATATATATATATATATATATATATATATAATATGAAATGGCCTATGTCCGATATTTATTTTAATATATCATCTGTTTATACGTTATACGGACAGAAAGAAAAAAATAGAAGACGAAAGATGAATTTGAAGAAGAAATTAATAGAAAAGAAGATGATGAATTAAAAGAAGGAAAAGGAAAGAAAAAGAATTAGAAGAGGAAAATAGTAGGCGGAAGAAGAAGAAGAAGAAGAAGAAGAAGAAGAAGAAGAAGAAGAAGAAGAAGAAGAAGAGAAGTTGAATAAAAAGCAAAGAAAAAAAAAAGGAAAATACTACTGGAAGAAGAAGAAGAAGAAGAAGAAGAAGAAGAAGAAGAAGAAGAAGAAGAAGAAGAAGAAGAAGAAGACAGGTGAATAAAGCCAAAAGAAGAAAAAAGAAGGAAAAATACTACTGAAGAAGAAGAAGAAGAAAAAGAATAATAAGAAGAAGACAGGTGGAATAAAGCAAAAAGAAAAAAAAGAAGGAAAAATACTACTGGAAGAAGAAGAAGAAGAAAAAGAAGAAGAAGAAGAAGAAGAAGAAGGGGAAGAAGGAGAAGAAGAAGAAGAAGACAGTTGGAATAAAGCAAAGAAGAAAAAAAGAAGGAAAATACTACTGGAGGAGAAGAAGAAGAAGAAGAAGAAGAAGAAGAAGAAGAAGAAGAAGAAGAAGAAGGAGAAGACAGTTGAATAAAGAAGAAGAAAAAAGAAGGAAAATACTACTGGAAGAAGAAGAAGAAGAAGAAGAAGAAGAAGAAGAAGAAGAAGAAGAAGAAGAAGAAGAAGACTGAAGGTGAAAAAGAAAAGAAGACTGGAAGAAGAAGAAGAAGAAAAGGTGGAATAAAGCAAAGAAGAAAAAAGAAGGAAAAAGAAGAAGAAGAAGAAGAAGAAGAAGAAGAAGAAGAAGAAGAAGAAGAAGAAGAAGAAGAAGAAGAAGAAGAAACAGGAGGAATAAAAAAGAAGAAAAAAAAGAAGGAAAATAGAAGAGAAGAAGAAGAAGAAGAAGAAGAAGAAGAAGAAGAAGAAGACAGGTGGAATAAAGCAAAAAAGAAGAAAAAAGAAGGAAAATACTACTGGAAGAAGAAGAAGAAGAAGAAGAAGAAGAAGAAGAAGAAGAAGAAGAAGAAGAAGAAGAAGAAGAAGAAGAAGAAGAAGGAGAAGAAAGGTGGAAAAAGCAAAGAAGAAAAAGAAGGAAAATACTACTAGAAGAAGAAGAAGAAGAAGAAGAAGAAGAAGAAGAAGAAGAAGAAGAAGAAGACAGGTGGAATAAAAGAAGAAAAAAGAAGGAAAATACTACTGAAGAAGAAGAAGAAGAAGAAGAAGAAGAAGAAGAAGAAGAAGAAGAAGAAGAAGACAGGTGGAAGAAAGGAAGAAAAAAAAGAAGGAAAATAACTGAAGAAGAAGAAGAAGAAGAAGAAGAAGAAGAAGAAGAAGAAGAAGAAGAAGAAGAAGAAGACAGGTGGAATAAAGCAAAGAAGAAAAAAAGAAGGAAAATACTACTGGAAGAAGAAGAAGAAGAAGAAGAAGAAGAAGAAGAAGAAGAAGAAGAAGAAGAAGAAGAAGAAGACAGTTGGAATAAAACAAAGAAGAAAAAAAGAAAGAAAATACTACTAGAAGATAAAGAAGAAGAAGAAGAAGAAGAAGAAGAAGAAGAAGAAGAAGAAGAAGAAGAAGAAGACAGGTGGAATAAAGCAAAAGAAAAAAAGAAGGAAAAATACTACTGGAAGAAGAAGAAGAAGAAGAAGAAGAAGAAGAAGAAGGGGAAGAAGAAGAAGAAAAAGAAGGAAAATAAAAACAGGAAGGAAAAAAGAAGAAGAAGAAGAAGAAGAAGAAGAAGAAGAAGAAGAAGAAGAAGAAGAAGAAGAAGAAGAAGACAGGTGGAATAAAGCAAAGAAGAAAAAAAGAAGGAAAATACTACTGGAAGAAGAAGAAGAAGAAGAAGAAGAAGAAGAAGAAGAAGAAGTTGAGGGGGAAAGCAAAGAAGAAAAAAAGAAGGAAAAATACTACTGAAGAAGAAGAAGAAGAAGAAGAAGAAGAAGAAGAAGAAGAAGAAGAAGAAGAAGAAGACAGGTGGAATAAAGCAAAGAAGAAAAAGAAGGAAAAAGAAGAAGAAGAAGAAGAAGAAGAAGAAGAAGAAGAAGAAGAAGAAAGAAGAAGAAGAAGGTGGAATAGCCAAAAGAAGAAAAAAAAAAAAGGAAAATACGAAGAAGAAGAAGAAGAAGAAGAAGAAGAAGAAGAAGAAGAAGAAGAAGAAGAAGAAGAAGAAGACAGGTGGAATAAAGCAAAGAAGAAAAAAAGAAGGAAAATACTACTGAAGAAGAAGAAGAAGAAGAAGAAAGAAGAAGAAGAAGAAGAAGAAGAAGAAGAAGAAGAAGACAGGTGGAATAAAGCAAAGAAGAAAAAAAGAAGGAAAATACAGGAAGAAGAAGAAGAAGAAGAAGAAGAAGAAGAAGAAGAAGAAGAAGAAGAAGAAGGTGGAAGCAAAGAAGAAAGGTGGAAGAAGAAGAAGAAGAAGAAGAAAAAGAAGAAGAAAAATACTACTGGAAGAAGAAGAAAAAGAAGAAAAATAAGAAGAAGAAGAAGAAGAAGAAGAAGAAGAAGAAGAAGAAGAAGAAGAAGAAGAAGAAAAGAAGAAGAAGAAGAAGAAGAAAACAGTTGAATAAAAGACAGAAGAAAAAAGAAGAAAAGACTAGAAGAAGAAGAAGAAGAAGAAGAAGAAGAAGAAGAAGACAGTTGAATAAAGCAAAGAAGAAAAAAAGAAGGAAAATACTACTGGAAGAAGAAGAAGAAGAAGAAGAAGAAGAAGAAGAAGAAGAAGAAGAAGAAGAAGAAGAAGAAGAAGACAGGAGGAATAAAGCAAAGAAGAAAAAGAAGGAAAATACTACTGGAAGAAGAAGAAGAAGAAGAAGAAGAAGAAGAAGAAGACAGGTGGAATAAAGCAAAGAAGAAAAAAGAAGAAAATACTACTGGAAGAAGAAGAAGAAGAAGAAGAAGAAGAAGAAGAAGAAGAAGAAGAAGAAAAGAAGAAGAAGAAGAAGAAGACAGTTGAAGAAGAAAAAAAAAGAAGGAAAAAAATAAGGAAAAGAAGAAGAAGAAGAAGAAGAAGAAGAAGAAGAAGAAGAAGAAGAAGAAGACAGGTGGAATAAAGCAAAAGAAAAAAAAAGAAGGAAAATACTACTGGAAGAAGAAGAAGAAGAAAAGAAGAAGAAGAAGAAGAAGAAGAAGAAGAAGAAGAAGAAGAAGAAGACAGGAGGAATAAAGCAAAGAAGAAAAAAGAAGGAAAATACTACTAGAAGAAGAAGAAGAAGAAGAAGAAGAAGAAGAAGAAGAAGAAGAAGAAGAAGAAGAAGATAGGTGGAATAAAGCAAAGAAGAAAAAAAGAAGGAAAATACTACTGGAAGAAGAAGAAGAAGAAGAAGAAGAAGAAGAAGAAGAAGAAGAAGACAGGTGGAATAAAGCAAAGAAGAAAAAAAGAAGGAAAATACTACTGGAAGAAGAAGAAGAAGAAGAAGAAGAAGAAGAAGAAGAAGAAGAAGAAGAAGAAGAAGAAGACAGGTGGAATAAAGCAAAGAAGAAAAAAAAGAAAAAAAGGAAACTGGAAGAAGAAGAAGAAGAAGAAGAAGAAGAAGAAGAAGAAGAAGAAGAAGAAGAAGAAGAAGGCAGGTGGAAAGAAGAAAAAAAAAAAAAAGAAGGAAATACTACTGGAAGAAGAAGAAAAGAAGAAGAAGAAGAAGAAGAAGAAGAAGAAGAAGAAGAAGAAGAAGACAGGTGGAATAAAGCAAAGAAGAAAAAAAAGAAGGAAATACTACTGGAAGAAGAAGAAGAAGAAGAAGAAGAAGAAGAAGAAGAAGAAGAAGAAGAAGAAGAATACTACTGGAAAAGAAGTTGAATAAAGAAGAAGAAGAAGAAGAAAAGAAGGAAAATAAAACTGAAGAAGAAGAAGAAGAAGAAGAAGAAGAAGAAGAAGAAGAAGAAGAAGAAGAAGAAGAAGACAGGTGGAATAAAGCAAAGAAGAAAAAAGAAGGAGAATACTAAGAAGAAGAAGAAGAAGAAGAAGAAGAAGAAGAAGAAGAAGAAGAAGAAGAAGAAAGAGACTGAAGCAGAAGTTAAAACTAAGAAGGAAGTGTGAAGAAGATGAATTGAAAGAACTGAAAAAAGGAGGGGGAGAATGAAGAATTAGAAGAAGAAAATAGAAGTAAGAAACAAAGGATGAAAAAAATTAAAAGAACAAGAAACGAAGAAATTGAATGAAAATTTAGAAAAAGAAAACAAAAGAAGAAAGAAACAGAAGTAAAAGCATCAAAAGAAAAAATGACGAAAGATTAAGATTTTGAAAATAAAAAATGATTTTGAAAAAGAAGTAAAATAAAAAAAAATATATATTAAGAAGTGGAATGAAAACCAGGAGAAGAAGAAAGAAACATCAAACGAAGAAATTAGGAGACAGAAGTCAAAGATGAAGATTTGAAAAATGAAGAAAATAGGAGGAGGAGGAGGAGGAGAAAGTCCAAAATGAAGACTTAAAAGACGGGGAAGAAGAAAAATAAAAAAGAAGGAGGAAGCAAAAGATGAAGATTTAATTTAAGATGAGAAAGATGAAAAGATGAGAAAGATGAAAAGATGAGAAAGATGAAAAGATGAGAAAGAAGAAAAGATGAGAAAGATGAAAGGATGAGAAAGAAGAAAAGATGAGAAAGATGAAAAGATGAGAAAGATGAAAAGATGAGAAAGAAGAAAAGATGAGAAAGAAGAAAAGATGAGAAAGATGAAAGGATGAGAAAGAAGAAAAGATGAGAAAGATGAAAGGATGAGAAAGATGAAAATATGAGAAAGAAGAAAAGATGAGAAAGATGAAAAGATGAGAAAGAAGAAAAGATGAGAAAGATGAAAAGATGAGAAAGAAGAAAAGATGAGAAAGATGAAAATATGAGAAAGAAGAAAAGATGAGAAAGAAAAGATGAGAAGGAAGAAAAGATGAGAAAGAAGAAAAGATGAGAAAGATGAAAGGATGAGAAAGAAGAAAAAGGAGAAAAAGAAAATCATAAAGGTATGAAGACGTGTTTCTTTTGTAAGATAATTAGATCCTAAATTTTTACATTGATTTTACAAGCGCATGAAATAGAGAGAGAGAGTGTGTGTGTGTGTGTGTGTGTGTGTGTGTGCGAGAGAGAGAGAAATAGAGAGAGAGAGAGAGAGAGAGAGAGTTTGTGTGTGCGAGAGAGAGATAGAGAGAAAGAGAGTGTGTGTGTGTGTATGCGAGAGAGAGAGAGAGAGAGAGAGAGAGAGAGAGAGAGAGAGAGAGAGAGAGAGGGGGATGGCGGACCACATCTCCCTGTTCGCCACCGGATTAACAGAACAGCAATGAAAAAGGCTGCCGTGACATTTTAGGCAGGGGTCCCTGAGTTCTATTGGAGGTCACCGGTGCATTTTACTTTTGTCAACAAGAGACATCAAAGTCCTTCCTGATTAATTAACAGGTTGAAAGGTAGAGAAAGGGCAAATTCCGAAATGGCGACATGTTTCTACCGAAACCAGAATGAGGAAAAAATAATCGAGTTTTGGGTTCATCCTATTCTGCGAATGCCGTTCTTATTACGTTTTAGGGAATAATGATAGAACGGCAGGAAAAGCATTTGCACCTTATAA